GCGCGAGTCAAGCAAGCACGGAAACGGTACTGTGCTCGAAGCACGTGCTCTTCAATTGCACGCACAAAGGGCTGCGCGCTGTAGCCTATATCCTTTCATATCAAAGTGCGAAATAAACTACGTGCATGCAATGCCGTGGTCAGTTAAGTCATGAAGTTACCAAAAAGGTGATTAAAGCTGCCTTAAAACTGTGCATGCATATAATATATTTTATGTGAGTCACAGTTAAGAACATGTCTCTGAAATGGTTTTCAAAACTGTCCTGGAGCAGCCCAGCACTCTCACTTTAACACACCTGGTTTAACTCGTCAGCTCGTGTTTATTTTAGCACATCAGTCAGTGAATATGCAGCCTGCAAAACACAAAAATAAATATCAAAGAAATAATACAGTTAAACAAGAAAGTAGCCTAAATAAGAAAGTTAAATACACACTGCAAAAAATGGCATATCTTACTTAGTATTTTTGTCTCGTTTCTAGTCAAAATATCTAAAAATTCTTAACTTAACATACTTTTACTAGATAAGCAAAATGACAAAATATTTAGTCTTGTTTCCAGGGGGAAAAAACTAAATTAAGTGCATTTTGCTTAAAACAAGTTAAATTATCTGCCAGTGGGGTAAGTAAAATATTCTTAAAACAGGAGTATTTTGTCTCGAGCTGCGCGGCGCGACAAAATACTATAAAACTAATTATAATCAGTGATGCTACACTGGATGCGGCACGACATGACAAATCCCGACAGTAAACTGCCTCGTTCTATTTTTGAGGTACTGACACAGAGTTCAAATGTCCTGTGTAGACACTAGACAGACTCAACCTGTTGCGACGCGACGGTCTCGCGTCTGGTGTAGACACGGTTCACTGTTCCGCTACTGTTATTACACTTGTATACAAAACTTCGTATTATGCTTGTTTATAGAGTGTGTGACGTCACATGCACTACCGGTGGTGGCAGTAGACAACCACCTACTGAATAATAATAGCGACTTTTACTTTTACTACTTGTGTATGGATTAACTGGTTCTCACCATGAATATAGCCATAGATGCTGGATTGGCGTTAAGAAAGAAATAAACAAACAAACTTTTAAATGTTTGATTTTCTCACACCTGTCTTCATAATTACACTCATGCATACACAGACACTCACACTCATTAATGCGGCTCATTATTCCTCCTCCCAGTTCAGTGAATTCCTGGCCACCGTCATAATGGTGATTTGTGGACTCGCATTGTACATTAGCAGCTTTATTTCACCAGTGTATTCTGCTCCTCTATTCAGTAACAGTGCTGTAACTGCCAAATAAATTGTATTTCAGCTGAGTTGTCAGTTTTCAAGCTTAATTGAGTGTGATGAGATAAAACAGACCAGATAGCACAAAATAATACAAAGACAATAAACAGATAACACTCTTTCTGTTGTATTGTCTTTGCTTGCTACACTGCAACCAGTGTAGTGTATGATTCACAAACCAGCTATGAGCCAGTTAAATGATCAGCCAGTCAAAAGGACAAAAATAAATGACTTTGAATGAGTCAAATTGTATGCTCAATTCGTGAGAGCAATTATTAATTATCATCTGACTCACTGACTAAATGTGTGTGGTTTTTAGTTACAGATACACATTCACAAATAGGTTTTATTATAATAAATTGTATTTAAATAGGATTGTTGGTTTATCAAGGCTGCGAAACACTGTAGGAAACATTGCGTATATTTTGTTCATGATAGTTAATCAGATTCAGCTATAGATTTAGACTTGTGTTAATGTAAATACGTTATCATTGATTGTTTTCCTGACTTACTGCTCTTGCTTCCCTTTGACCCCTGTGTCAGTCTCCTGTTATGAAATGAAAGAAGAGTTAGAGCTGGACCAGGGGGATTGTTTGCATAAGGCTTCATCTGTGGACACTCATCCGTCTTCAATACAGGGAACAGCGTTTGAACACTAATGATCCTCCTCCTGCTTTACTGTCTGGCCCTGGAGACCCAGTGGAAAAACACACAATTACACACACACACAGTTGAGTGGGTCTGACAGCAGCCCATCTTTTTTTTTAAACACGCATACACAGCCTCTTTGATCTGTGTGCTTACTGCCATGAGTTGGATCTCTATAGTGTTTGCTTTGTCTTGTTCTTAAGGAATATGTTTCTGCTTTCATCCCTGAAGATTTTCAGGCTCTTGCCTTATGTCAGTAGATGGACAGATGCTTGAAGTCATCAACTGATCCATGATATTGTGATTTTATCCGATATTTGTATATATTTTGAGATTAATTCAAGTAACTTTGAATAATTACAATAAATACAACTGTTTTAGCACTCAGTTCTGTTATTTATACTGTTAATTAGTGGTGCTTTCTGAAATCAAGTTAGTCATGTCTGTACAGTGCTGTTCAAAATGCATTTAGTTTCAAGGTAAAGTTCTACACCGAAATCCAAAAGATGTTTTGATGAAGAGGAAGAACAACCTTGGTTGAAATCATACCTGGTTTTGCGGGACGAGGCCATCTTCTGCTGGGAAAAAAAACGATTACAATAATATATGTATGCCATAGAATGTCTTGTTACATATGTGCAATACTGATCATATTTCATTAAATAAGTGGAATGATTTAATATGTTCAAATGTTTAGAGAATTCATGCACAACATGTTTATACTGCTTTGTAAGGAAGTGACGCACAGAATGTTTGTACTGCAGACAGGAATAATACTTCAAATCTTGGTGAGGTTTACTATTACTGTTAAATCAGAAGAGCAATTGGAAAAAGAAAACATACCATAGACTTGTCTTGGAACAAAAATATATTAGCAAATTAGCAACCATTGCCACCAGAAACCATTCAGAACATTAGCAGTTGAACACTCTGGCAATGTGTTGGTGAGTTTTGAACAGCCAAGCATCACTCACTCATTTCTTCAGAAAATATTAAAATCTACAGTTGTTATGCAGCATATTTGTGAAAAGTCATTTATTTTTTGACTGCACAGCCAGTGGCAGATGAGACAAATGATCCTGAAGAAAAAGAAGATGCCTCGTTGCCTGACAGTCTGTGATATTGTTGTGTCAGTTCAAATGTTATGAAGTTAATTCAGATCTTGCCATCTTGTGCAAAAACACAAAGGCTGCATTCTTTATCGTACAGAGATGATTAAACGAGCGTAATTGTTCATGTTGATGACAGCTGTACAGAAACTCATAGTCAGCTGGTTACTAGTGATGCTGCTTACACCTGTGCAATGCAGTTTTTCATTCATTGTGACTGTTGCTTGGTTAATTTGTGTCATTAATCTTTCTCTATCTGAGGTAATTGCTTACTGAGCACTGCAGTGGTCCCAAAACGTATTTGGACATTGATGCCGCAATTAAAAATGAATGAATGTGATGAATTGCTTATGCTCCTCTATTGTAAGTCGCTTTGGATAAAAGCATCTGCTAAATGTATAAAGTAGAGTTGCACAAGTAATCATATTTGAATCACTATGACGATTTCTGCTTCTCTTTATTAAGTAATCTAAATTCCTCAAAGCTTTTCTCATAAATCGATACATTTTCCACCAAGTGTGTATTTAATGTTCCCCACCTGGCAACCATGCACACATTCTCTCTCTGTGCAGCAAAAAATGTTCATGATCTGAAAACACATATGTTGGGAGTTTAGTGATCTCCATTGCGATATTCTGTGTCATACAGCCAGTCTTTGTTCCCTCAGAAGGCTGTTTGTGCTATTTTTTGCTTTTGTTCCAGTTTTTGCTTTGAAGTAAAATAAACCCTGTGTAAAGGTTGACAGTGTCTTGATTTGTGCTTACATAAGAGTGGCATCATTAAAAAGTAATTTCTCAAATGAAAATAATCTTGATTAATTATTGTGGTTTATATTTTGTGCAAAATAAATAGTAACGTGCAACCCTACTTTAAATGTAGCTAAATGTCATGTAACGAATGTCTTTGCAATAAATAACAAAATATCAGACCAAGAAGCATTGGCTAAGAAATGATGCAGTCGTCACTTATCTTTGTAATTTCAAAGGGATAGTTTGCCCAAAATTGAAAATGTTGTTATTATTTACTTATTTTATTCCAAATCTTTGACCTTCTTCTTTCTGCTGTATTTATTTGTTGGATAGTTTGATATCTAATATAGTGACATTCATACAGGAGTTGGGCCAGAAGTGTTGCTTTGTTTTTTTTAAAAAAGGATAAAAGAACAGCAAGAACAAGAAGGCTGCTGTACAACAGAGAAATCTCTTTTGGACATCAGTAGCACAGGTGTTCATCAGCATGTGAATCAGAGGATCACTGTCACATGTGAAAATGCTGTCAGATCCTGTTCCAGCTCCTGAACAACACCTCAATCCTCACTCAGTCTTTCCCTCTGCCGTTTCATCCCGCTCATTTATTACTGTATAGTGTATTTGCTTTTTCTCTCAGGTTCCAAGAAGGAAATCATGACTCTCATTTATCACTTACAACAGTTTGTTGCATAATAATCAGAGGAATGCCATTCAATGCGTGTGTGTGGTTTCTCGTACTTCCTCTTTGATTATGCAATCGCTTGTTGAAATGTTCTCTTTTCACTTGGCTTTCAAACACCATTTCAAATCAATTAAATAAAAGCAGTTCAAACCACTCAACTCGTAAAGAGTTCACTTGAATGTTATTGGCACACACAAAAAGAACTCATTCAAGTTTTATTTGAGGTAAACTCATTCAAGTTTAATACTCTTTTAGTATTTTGTCATTAGGTTTGCACATGCTCTGCCAGGGTCTGAGGAAGTTCCTTCCTAGTTTTGATGTTTTGCAGCCTTGCACGCTCACTAGAAGTATAGGTTTGCTTGATCTCACCATCTCTTTTATTTCTAACTTCAGGTTTGTTATGTCTACCTTGTTTAAACTCCGTTTCCCTCTCCTCAACCTTACTGGACCAAAGTCCTGTCAGTCACAGCTGTGTGTCTGTTTACTCAACCCTCTCTCCCTCCCCCTGTTCTTTCAGGCATCTGCGTGAACTGCCAAGGCAACACCGAAGGACGCAGCTGTGAAAAGTGCAGGTATAATTTCTACCGAAGGCCTGGTTCTCCTGTGACAGAGCCCTGCATCCCCTGCCCCTGCTCCAGCGTCACCTCCACAGGCAGCTGTAAGCTCGGTGAGTCCTTCCCACATGCACGTCAGGCTAGTGTAGCCCACGTTAGCATAGCCTGCTAACTTTATCAAGCTCTTATTGGCCACTGCTGTAGGAAATTCAGAGGAGATTTCCACATCTGGGATACGTGGAGTTACCCCCCCCCCCTCATCTGTTTTGGATTATGTGTCTTGCATCATTCTGGCCAACCGCTTGCTGTCTGAATTTCTGGGTGGGTGGACGGAGACTTTTAAGAGAAGAGAGGTTTATTTGAAGTGAAAGTGAAACTGGAAACTTTTTTCTCTCCTCTCTGGGCCTCCACTCTGAACTAAACCCTCACAGGATATGTTTATGAAATGTACTGTAAAGGCGAGAACGAATGGGGGAGTTTCTTGTGTCTTATTCAGAAAGTGTTTTGATCAGTCCTGCAGTGCTCTGTCTCTCTAGGCCAGTGATGGGCAAACTTGGCCCTTCCAGGCCACTTTCCTGCAGAGATTTGATCCAACCCTGATAAAACTCACCTGCCTGTAGCCTTCTAGTAGTCTTGAAGACAATGATTAGCTGGTTCAGGTGTGTTTGATTAGGGTTGGAGCTAAACTCTGAAGGAAAGAGTTTGCCCACCCCTGCTCTAGGCTGATTTTATTTGCCATATGTTTGTGAGGAATTGTGTGACATTGCTTTGTTGATCTGTGGGAGGGGTTTCTGGGTTTGCTGACTGCAGCAATGTTCTTGCTGCCTTGCAAGCTGATGTAAGGTAGAACCTGACAGTGGATAAATACCACATAGACCAGCAAAAGGGCAGGTGTGTGTTCAGTGTTCCCAGATATTACAGTAGTGTACATCACAAATGTAGCCACACAGTGTAGCTGCTGTTTTTGTGTAACAGGAGAAACATTATAACATGCACTATAAGAATTACAATCATAATCTTTTTTTTTTTTTTTTTTTAGTAAAGATTATTTTCTCCTTAATAAAAAAAATTCAAACTAAGATTTTTTTTATTCACTACCACTCAAAAATGTAGGGTTGGTAAGATTTTTTTCTTTCCTAACCAAGGCTGAATTTATTTGATCAAAAATACACTAAACAGTATAACATTGTTGTGAAATATTATTACAATGTAAAATAACTGTTTTCTATTTTAGTATATTCTAAAATGTAATTTATTTCTGTTATGGCAAAGCTACATTTTCAGCAGCTGATATGCTGATTTAATGCTCAAGAAACATTTCTTATAAAACACTTTATAAAACAGCATGTGAAATAGAAATTCTTAATAATAATTTGTAAGTTGTGATTTTTAATATTTTGTAATATTTCAAGTTTTGTAAACAATGTAAGCAAAAAGCTGTCACTTTTTATCAGTTAAATTCAAATACATCCTTGCTAAATAAAAGTATTAATTCCTTTGAGTGAAAAATTTAAGGGGGTCTGAATACTTTCCGTACCCACTGTATATTACTGCCCCAAACTTTTGAACTGTGTATTTTTATTAGATTTATTACATTTGAAAACAAAAATACACATTTTATGAAATTACAAATGTTTATTTTATGGCTACAGTACATATCTACAGTAAATACAGTTTATGTAGTAGCCACTGTTTCTAAATCAGAAGTGACTATTTCCCCAAACCAATCACCTGTATTCAGAGCCTTGATGAACACTTTCTGCCATTAATGATGTCCAGTGACTTGTTTGCATTATTTATGCATAATTTTATTTATTTGTAAGGCTTTTTTATGACTAAATTTGGTAATGGGAGAGTAAAAATATTTTTTAAACGTACACCGTTCAAACTAGGCTGCTTATGTTGAAGTGTTTGGGATGTGGCTTTTAATGATGAGACCTTTTTTGTAATCAGGCTCTCAAAAAGTATATAACAATTTGGATATAGATTTATCGGCCAACATATCGGTTATCGGCTTTCAAAAATAAAGAATAATCGGTTATCGGTATCGGCCAAAATTTTCATATCGGTGCATCCCTAATCTATACCATAGTGCCATACTAACAATTACCTGCTCTGGGATTTGAGGCATCTGGTCTTATTTGTGGTGTGTGTTTTGCAGGCCTTTACAGTCTTTGTTTGCATCTGGCTCTAGAAAATTATGGCCATAAATCTAATCTGGAGGGTAAACAGCTTTTCAGGCACAGCTGTTATCCAAGATGATAGGTAAAGAATAATTGACGACAGGCCGTTGTATTATTAAAAAATAATGCACACCCGAGGTGGTGATGTGGCCATGATGCGAAGTGGAGTACGTTATTTTCTAATAATTTAACAGACCAAAGTCAATTATTCCACTGATACTACGGTTACCACACCTCAAATATTGTTCAGATGTTGTATTTCAAGACATTCGTCAGGTTTTTGTCCTTAAAATGCTATTTTGAGTAGGATTCATTTCTTATGCATCTCATCCAATAACCCCTTTGCTAATTCTAAAACATAATTTTAGTCCTAGTAACAGAGACTTGAGCAGACTAATGCAGTTATTAATGAAGTTGTTAGAGAGAACGAGAGCCTATATGAATTACCGGAGTCTGTGCGTCTCTCAACAGTGTTCGGGAGCAGCATCTCAACTAACAGCGAAACTGTAAGTTTCTTCTTTAAGAACAGCGCCGTTATTATCTCACTAGAGAAATGTCATGTTGCTTTTAAGTTGCTAAATTATTTTACTAATAAAATCATCAGAGCAGGGCTGACAACGTGTTTCTGTGCGCGTGTATGTTTCTGTGTGTGCGAGCTGGGGCGGATTTAGTGATTTGGAGGCCCCAGGCAAAATACAGGAATGGGGCCCTATACAATTTCACACATTTACAACCTTGAGGTTCCTTTCACTGTTGCTCGCTGCTGCACGACCGTGTCCCATAGTTGTGTCTAATCTTTTAGATTTTTCATTTACATGTTATAAATAAAGAATTTCTTTTATGTTGTAAATTCCTTGTTCACATTTAAACAGGTTATAATAGTATTAGAGTAGATTGGACACTAGGTGGTGTGTTGGGGTAATTTTCACTATGCAATTGTCTACACAACGCAAGGCTGTCTAATTCTAAACTTTAAAATATACATTTATTTTTGATTTATTTTAATTGCACATTTAAATTAAACTGAAGGAAATTATAAATTTACATGCTTAAGGATTATTTCAACCAAACATGAAGTGTGCCTGTGTGGAAAGTGACTGTGCATGGTCCTTCTTGGGTCTTTCACAAAAACGAGTGAGCGCCATTTTAAAAAATTAAAGTAGGCCCTATATAATATGCACTGTTGCTTAGTATTAAAATTATAGCTTCAGATGCATGATATTTGTAGGGCACTATGAAATCCGTTTTATTTTTCCAAAATCTTTTTTTCAGTTTTAATTTTTCTGGATTCAGTTTTTTTTCCTTTTAATTTTTCTGGATGATTATATAAAATTTTAACAAAAAGCATGTCTAATTAATTAAAATCATGAAACTTGTTTAATTTAACAGCAATTTAGGCCTATTAAAAGTTTAACAAAAATTACATTCTTATGGCCCAAATTCTGCGCTTTCCATTTGAATTTTTCTGTATTCCATTTTAATGGTTTAATCAAAAACATATCTAATTAATTGAATTCATAAAAACAACTTAATTTATACATTTTATACAATAATAGGGCCCTATGAAATTGTAATTTTATTTACTTATTTTTTTAGAAATTCTGTGTTGTGTATTAAAATTTTTCTGGTAATCAAATTAAGGCAAAAACATTAATCTATCTTTTAGTCCAATGAAAATTAAACAAACCCTTTAATTTTTGTACATTCAAAATGCTACACAACAGAAGTTTACTGTGTAACGAGCAATGTCACGGAATTCGTCAAATATTGAATGAATAAATCAAATGCAATTCAGTACACTTCAATCAAACCGCGATATGGACTAGTGTATGTGAATATTAAATGGCAAAAATACTATTTAGCTACTACAGACGACAACCGCGAGCGTTGCGCGTGCTTCAATAGCAAACAAAACACGTGTCTGCACCGTTCATTCCGTCACATTCCGCGTTACACCGTAAATTCCGTTTTTATGAATAGATTCCGGGATTCCGTCCCCATTTTCTACATCGCCCTACTTTTGCTAAGAAGCACGTTCAACACAGACACACAGACGGTTGTCGTGGTAATGAACACCACAGCAACCACTTGCGCGTCCGCACTGAACACGCATCTCGCATATAAAAAGCATTTTAGGGGGCCCTTGGCTTTTGGGAGCCCAAGGCGGTCGCCTACCTTTGCCTAATGGTTAAGTCCGCCTCTGTGTGCGAGTGTCTGTACTGTATGTGTGTGTATTTATAAGGAAGAGAGAACAGGAGAAAGAGAGAAAGAAATGTAATCGAAATGTGCTTTCCGTACATAATAAAGCATAATTTTGTGGCAAAAACATAGAAATAACTGAAATCATTAGGTGAAGTGATATGGACATTTAATGCGGTCAAGACCTGCCTCGAACTACTTTAGCCATGCATTTCCCTGAAAATAATTGCACGCTTTAGAACATTCGTCAGCCAATCAGATTCAAGCATTCAACAGCCCAATAGCCATTTTTCAAAGTCGTTTGAAAAATAAAATACAGTAATATCTAATCATTCATATTTGCACAACTATCGTTGTCTTATTGTACTAAATAAGTATAGCTGTGTAAACACTTTCATCTTAGTTCTTGCTAACTGCGTTTGCAACTGGAGAACACATACATTTTTATTCATGATAGAGGCTTTCTTAATTTATACACTAGACATACACATGTATATACATTTTTGAATTGTCAGTTGGTTGCCAGTTATATTTATGCAAATGCTGCCAACTGAGGCTCATCAGCATAACTCAAGGCACATCTCTATAATAGAAGCTGTATTAGGCTCTTACGTGTGATTTAAGAGCAAGCCAGCATGCCTGCCCAGAGCACTTTCTATCTCTCCCTCTTTTCCGGTGTGTCTGCTGCTGATTTGGAGTAGCAACTAATAAACAACATTTTGAGATTATAC